CTAACTAAAATGACAATTTTCTATATAAATTATTTTATATAAAATCGGTGTTAAAGGTCTTTGACCGACCATTGACCGACTGACTGGTTGATCGACCGTTGACTGACCATGATCGACTTTCATCATTCCTAGCCTTTCGTACGTGCAAATAGATGTACTGGTGTAAATTAAATTTTATCTCGGAATTATATTTTTTATTAAAAGTTCTAAATTTAATCTTCTGTGAAAGGAATAATCAATTTAGGTGGCTGCGGTGACGTTTAAGTATTTCAAATGCCTCGTGAAGTTTCATGGTGAATAAGATAAAAATCGAAAAAGCCATAGGCACGACTGTGAAAATACACAAGTACTCACATTTGATCTGAACCAATGGAACTTGATCCTCAGGTATTTAATTTTAACCCTGCTTTTAACTGGTAATCTACTTTTTCTTTTCATCTTGGCTGGAACTAAAATAATTTAGCAAGCCGGGAGTAATCCGATTTCAATACAGGTTGCGGTGTTCTGTGGCATTTATTCCTTTTCTTTTCTATAATAAAAAAAAATTGAGATTATAAATTTTCATTAGGCGTTTATCTTTTGAAAGCATGACTACCTACTAATTCATGTTAAGACACAACTTATAGATTTTATTAGCAAAGAGGAAAGAATGTCTATTTTACTTTTTATACGCCGTTGAACTCACCAGCAAATTCAATTTTTGGTTAGTTCAGTTTGTTAGATGAAGTTTAGACATTTCCGACGTTCTATATATAAATTTTCAATTTTAACTTGAATGGTTGTTGGCAATTCATATTCTTCCGCGATCAAAAAACTGTTATAATTGTTGAATGCTTTTGCAATTCCAGATTTATTCATTACTATTAGACTAATAGATCCGTCCGCTTTATTATCATCTTTTGACAAAACATTATTTAAAAATCTAAAAACATCTCCGTGATTGTTTACAGTAGTTTCGGTTTTATTTGCTTGCTCATTTTGTTGTTTTAACAAATCATTCTAACAACCCCTCCGCGATTGTCTACAGGAGGTTTGATTTCTTTGCTTGTCCTTTTTGTACTGGAAAAACGAACGTTTTTTCCAGGTTATCGTTCTCATTTACATAATTTTCTAAATTTGAAGGCACGACAGGAGGCATGGTAGGGGTAGCTCGCAAAACCCTGATACGGTCACGTATGCGTTTACAGTACTTCATGGCTGCTTGTTGGAAATGGCCAAAGAATAATACATTTTTCTAGATAAATTATTGTTCATACCGACTGGTATAGTGTTAATAGGTGTAATATTGTTAACGTTATCTTTTAAGTCGTAAATTTTAATAACAAATTCTAATCATTGATTAAGGTTAACGAATAATTAAGCGATTGTTTCAATGATGTATCAAACTGATAAAGAAAATAATTAATTAAAAGTTCATACCTGATTTAAAAGTCGCAGTAAGAGACCCATCCGAACTTATAGCTATATAAGTGGGCGATTATATTTTCCTTTTTATCAACTGTCATGTAGTTAACCGTTTTTAATTATAGCGTTTTTTTTGTGAAGTAACTTACCGTGTTTATAAATACATTTTTCTCCAAAATCAAAATCTAGTTATTTATTGTTTAGATTGTAAAGATGGGATTTCCTTTTATTTTTAATATTGTTCGTTTTGACCGTTATCTAAAATCAAAAAATAATAAATGGATTGCGAATAAGGAAAATACATCTATCATAAAAGTTTATTGTTGAAAGGAGTTTTCATTTGAATGATCGTTACCAAAAAATTAATAAGGGATTTCGTTTAAATTTAAAGACTTATTTTTGAATGATGAAAGTAATAAATAATTGGTCGGTAAAGTTTTTCTATTGTTCTCGTTTGTAACTCATAAAAATTATAAGGCCAAATTGATTTTGAAAAATATAAGCGATTTCGTCCATAGTTTCTTCAGTTTTGTAATTTTTTTTTTTAATAATAAAAATACCAAGTGAATTATATTTTCTAATTTATTTTTAATTCAAAAATATAATAATTTCGATGTTTTTTTTAAAAAAAAATCGACGTTTGTAAGATCCGGGTGAGTCCTTTTCTAATTCAAGGGATGAACTGTCATAAAAAGTGATTAGAACTGATGCAAATTTGGTGAGATATCTAAACTTCAACATTCTTTCGTCAAAATTAAGAACGGCTTTAGTTCTCTTAAACTAATCAGTTCCTAACAATAAGTTTTCATCAGGAGATTTAATTACTTATAAGGTAATTGGCATTCGGATAGGTCCAATCGACATTTTAATAGTGTTGTATTTAGTTCTTTCGTTTATGTATTTATAAACAATTTTAAATGTAAGCAGAAGGTTTTTAAATGAATATTATTGAATAAAAATGAAGTAATTGTGACAAGTATTTATTTAATAATATCAAATTAATCAGTGTTGCCTCAACGTCGGCGCTCTACACTTTCGCTATGTAAATATATTAAACTAAGTAAATGCCAAGTAATAAATTCTAATTAATTAAAACTGCGCAAATTACGAAACTATTACATAAAGTTGAATAATAAAATCGGGAATTAAAATTAAAAACAATAAACGAAATTACAAATGCGAAATTATAAAGTTAAAACGGCGAAATTCGAAATTATCGCGAAGGTGTAAAAAGGAGGATTGCGAAGGGAATGTATTCAAAGAAATATATTAAGGGCGAGCATGGGATATTGAGCTGTTTTAGGATTTCCAGCTCAATATATATATATATATAAAAAATTAATTAAGCCAGCCTGATATATTGAACATTTGTCCTGGCAAATGATCGTCAAAAAGACTAATTGTAATTATCAAAAGCGATTTACATGCGGAATTATGAAGATTTTGGCCGGAATAACATTCAATCGTAACAATAGTATTGATTTATCCCAAAACCCTTGCTCTTTTTCCGTTAGCAGTATTAATAATAATTTTGAAGATTCATCGATTTGTAGTTTGAATCTTTTAACCAAACTGCTTGTAATAATCCTAATAGCTGCACCTGAGTCAAGAATAGCTTGCACATTATTGTAGGACCCTGAACAATACTATTATAGGTAACATCCAGCCAAAAAAAATTACTAATGTCTGTACGCAGCACTTTTACTATAGTCCGTACGCATTTTTGGCTTCTGACTTTCAAAATTATAATAAAATATGCATTCTGAACATCTGACCATAATAATAAAATTTATTTTATTAAATAAATAATTTATATATTGCATGAATTTATAGGTGAAAATAATTGATAGCCCCAGAACATTGGGTTCCACAACCTTTTTTATAGATTATAATGTAAAATGTCGAGCGACCATAATTATTAAATTAGATATTTCTAAAAAAGGGAGAATCGGTCAAAATAAATTAAAAATAAGCAATTTCAACATATTACTATTTTATAATCCAAATAAAATTACGCAAATAAAAACTATAACTTCATCATAGTTTTGAGCAATTATACGCGTTCTCAAAATCTAACCAATTAAGATCTACTAAGGTGGTGACGCATTATCTCCTATCACCTATATTAGGATTATTTGGGGTCCTATTATTGTAGTTGATCTGTACAGTGCACCTAACAGCAGTTGTAGGCATTTAATCATTATCACTAACATATTCTCAACATTATTAATCTCCTTAACAATGACTCATTTTAAGTATTAAGCCATGCAACTTTGATTTTTCAGTTCACGTAAAATTGACAATAATCACATTTCATTTTAAATTTCTTAACTCCATCAAAATGCCTATTATACATTTACAACTGATTTAGGAGAATTTATTAACGAGTAAATTTCAAAATTCTTTTAAATGTCATTTATAACTATGGACTATGGAGAAATAATTTTTTTCTTTACTATAATTGAAGTAACAAATAAACAATACTTCAAATATTTCAAAAAAATGTAAAAATATGTTACAATTATAAATATTAGAAAGGTTTATCTGTTGAGAAAGAAACAAAAATAAAAATTTTTTTGAAATATATTGATTTTATATTTATTATCTAACTGGTAGAAAGCAGATTTTCAAGTTAAGTTTAGTTCATTTAAAACATTAGTTGAAGAAAAATTTTCAGCACAAGATATTGCTTGAAAAGCTGCATAAAACTAATGAGTATAAGAAAGGAATGATACATAATGATAATACAATAAATCTTTAATCTACCAATAAAATTACACTTTATAATTACATGATAAAAATTTTATATATAAACATTTTTTTGTTAAAATTTGAAAAAGTGATCTAGTTGGATGACATAAACTGAAAAATTAAAGTTGTATAATTTTAGCTAAATTCTTTTTTTGGTCAGAATATTTTAATTAATTATCAAACTTTGTTAAAGAAGATAGGTTAAGAATATCTTTAGTGATATTGTAAAAGGCTAATTGAAAATAATAAATAGTATACGTAATATTTTTCTTTTATGATGCTTTAGCTTTTGAATTGAATTTCTTCTATAATCTCCAATAGAATAATAAGAGGTATTATTTAATAAATCTATTTTTTAATCTTATTTCTTATTGCAATTCAATTACCTTTATACTTTTACCTTTTGCATCTTTTCTATTAATAGTGTATGGAGAACCTTTACTTTAAGAGTAGCATAAACTTCATTATTTTCTAATTCATCTTTTCATTGAGATTAAAATAAACTTTAACCATATTTGCATCTTTTCTTTTCCTAAAAGACTCATCATATTCATTGATATAGTAACCTTTCTTTTGATAATAGTAATAGATAATTTGAAATTTATCGTATTTTTAACCTATAGTTAAAGTTTTCAGTTTAATTTAGATTGTGTACTTAGAGTAGAATTAATATTACATAGTTAAGAATGTGTTTTTTCATTTATTTAGTTAAAACTTTCAGAGCATTATAATTAGAAGAATTAGTTTTTTATATACTTAATATTCTTATCTTTTAGCTTATTTTTCAAAGATTACTTCTGATTTATAATTAATTACTTTTTGAATAGCTTCATCAATGTTATTTATTTTACTAATAGTAATCTATACTAAATCTTTCTTTATTCTTTTTAAAAATAATCTAATTATATAAGAGGTTTTACAGGATCAACTTTCTTTTTAATTTTTTAATTTATTAGCATATAGATGCTTTGCAATAGAAAGTAAGAAAATTATCAAAAAATTTTATTTTAAATTAATATTAAATTTGAATTTATTTTATTAAAAATAATAATAATAGTTATTAGTAGAATGATTATATATTATAGTTTAATTTAATAGTTTAAATAATACACTTTATTTAAATTTTAAATAAATATGAAATTTTATTATACAGTATAAAATTTTTTTAAAAATGTTATACATTTAAGTCAAATTTTAATGTACACTTTATTTATTTCTCAGATATGGTTCATTATATAAAATTTTTTGTAATTAGAATTCTTATTGATCTTATGAGTAAATAATATTTTAGTAGTTTTCTTCTTTTCTATTGCAAAGTATTTATATAATACCACTTTTTCATTTCTTTTTTTAGATAATATCATTAGTTTATAATGCTATCTATTTTATTATTCAATTATAGAGAAATAACTTAAATAAAAGAATTGAATTCTAGTTTATCAGAATTTTTACTATCTTCTAAGTTTTTTCAATTTACAAATTCAGTATTTTTATACTAATCAGTGACTATATAATCAAGAAATTCTTTAGCAATTTTTTCTGAGGTTCAATTATTAGTTTTTACAGTTTTTTTCAAAATGAACAATCTAATTAAATAGATCTTTGTCTATTTTTCTAAAAACATCATATTAAAATTAAATTAGTTATTTTTATTGATAGTTAGTTAATCTCTAGGTTTATTAATTTATTAAGTAAACTAATTAATTAAAGTAGTAAGCTAAATAATAAAGACATTAAATTAATCTGTATCTTTTTTAGATTTTCTAATAAAAACGATATAAATAATTAGAGTTCTGTTACTATAAAATAATGATATCTACCTAAATTATTTTTATTATGATTAAACTTTTGTCAAATTTTTTGTTTGATTAAATCCTTGACTAAAGTCCAAATTTGACTAAACTTTAGTAAATAAATAAATAACTAAATTGCTTTATAATATATAAATTATAAATTTTTATTTATTTATCTATATTAAAAAATATATTATTATTTAATATTTATTAAATTTAATTTAAATTTTTTATTATTTATATTAATAAAATATATAATCAAAAATATTACTAATTAATATTATAAATAAGAATTATTTATATGAAATATTTATTATAAAAATCAGATTCTAAGAATTTTTTTAACTAATATTAAAATATTATTATATTTAATCTAATAATATCAAAAACTAAAATGCAATAAAAATCAAAATTTTGTTAAAAATTTTTCAGAATTCAATTTTTTATTAAACTTCCCATATAATAAATCAAATATAATAAATAATATTTTATTTACAAAAT